CCCCAGTTCATTCAATACCTCCCTGGCTTTCCCAGTCTGCCTGGTCAGCAGGACAGGCATTCGCTGACCATCAGGGATCTGGTACAGACTGCAGAGGCGTTCAGAGGTAGACAAAAACTCCTCTATGTCCTCAGCATCGTTGTAAATGGGACACATCCTCTCCCAGTTTCGGTGGGGAAGTGGAGTATCAGGTGGCGATGACTTTCTCCGCTCTTCCATGACTTGGAGCTGAAGTTTGGCTGTCTCCTGTTCCATCTTGTGAGTCTCCTGTTGCCTCTGTCGAGCTTTCTCCTCAGCTGCCAGCAGCTCCAGATGCCCCTTAGGAGCTTTTTCTTCTCTCTCAGCCACTTCTCTTTCGAACTCAGCATGCTTTTGCTTTTCCAGCAATCAAAGATCTGCTAGATTCTGTTCATGCTCAAGTTGCAGTTTATTTGTTGCCTTTTGCATTCTAATTTTTTCTGCAGCTTCTGTATCCTCAGGTAAGGGCTGTGCTCCTGCCTCCTGATCACTGGCCATTAACAGATTTCTCCGTTCTTGATTTGTAGCTTTCTTTCTAAAGCTTATCCCCTTTTCTGAACACAAATGTTCCAGGCCTTCATATGCTCTTTGCTCACCCATTGCAACTGCTTTTTAACCAACCAAACTCTCACTACCAAAATTCAAATTTGGATAGCGTGGGGTTCTGACCCAAAGTTTAATTGACCTGGTTCTGTGGATCCTGCCGACTATGCCATTGTAACGAGGCTAGCTCTGGCGGGACCCAACTGAGAGTGACAATTCAGGACCAATTGCTTCAAGCAGGGCAGTTACAGCCCAAGGCTGGGGTTTCTGTGCACACCAAGGCAAACCCAACCAGCCAGACAGAGAGGACTTTGGTTGCACCCCACTGGCTAACCACAAGTCACCCAAGCAATTCCCTCAGACACCCCAGTTTCCCAGTATCCCCACCAGTGCCACTCGTTATGGGGACAAATGGTTATGAAAACCCAATATCCCCGTAAAAGAAAAAAGGTTCTTTCGATCCCAAAGGACAAGCCCCAGACCCAGGTCAATATACAAATCAGATCTTACCCACAAATCACGCTGTTGCCAATCCATTAGAATCTAAAATCTAAAGGTTTATTCATAAAAGGAAAAAGATAGAGACGAGAGCTAGAACTGGAGAACTGGAATCAATGACATACAGTCGTGGCCAAGTTCTTTGTTCAGGCTTGTAGCAGTGATGGAATAAACGGCAGGTTCAAATCCAGTCTCTGGAGAACATCCACAGCTGGGATGGGTCCTTCAGTCCTTGGTTCAAAGCTTCAGTGTAGCCAAGTCCCTCCAGAGGTAAGAAGCAGGACTGAAGACAAGATGGAGGAGCTGCAGCAGCTTTTACAGTCTCTTGCCATGTGGTCTTTCTTTCTTTGTCCCAAAGACAAGCTGCCCATCCCGTGGCCTGGAAACACCTCAGAGTTCTGTCCATAGGCAGTTCCATAGGCAGGTCCCTGCACCCCTCGCTGAGTCCCAAGGCATGTCTGCCTTCTCTCAATGGGTCAGTTGTGTAGCTGATGGTCCTTAATGGGCCATCCAGCAGGCTAGGCAGAGCTGACACCAACTTGTCTGGGGTGTCACCCAGAAGCACAGCATAAGTTTGAAATACAGACAGTCTAGAGCCAATACTTATATCTTTAAATACAAAAATGACACATGTAAACAGGCAGCATGAGCATAACCAGCAAACCATAACCTCATCTTAGACACCTCATTTAACCCCCTTTATACAAGGTTTGGTGCCACTACAGGACCTTGGTTGCAACCATGTTCTATACGGTTCCAGTTCAAGTCAATAACGTCACACAGGTCCATCAATGGCTATTAGCCAAGATGGTCAGGGATACAACCCTATGCTATGAGTGTCCCTAAACCTCTGACTGCCAGAAGATGGGTGTGACGTTATCTAATTAAAATATGACCATGCTGCTACCACTATTATATAATTGCTACAAGTCTTATACAAAGTGTGATGCATGGCCAGAAAGGGTTAAGCAGCTTGCAGGATAATTGACGCAGAGTCAAACATTAGAGAGATGGTAGAACAGTATGTAAATGGTTATTAGGGCCATTCCATGGTAGATAGGCTAGAACTTTCAAATGCAAACCTGTATTGTTAGAAATTAGAGGTAATACTAGTTGTATGTGTGTACTCATATCTTGTTTGATGCTCACCATGTAAACAGACAGTTCCTGTCTGTCACTATACCTATTGATTCAGAGATCAAAAGGACATAACATTTAGATGAACTGCAAACACAATAACATCACTGTGTTCGTCTCTTTTGAAATGTACAGAAACTCACCTGAGAATGATGGAAAACCGGCAATTGCCTTATGTTAATTCATGTAGCTAACTACCCATGATGCTTAGGAAAAGGGTCCACTTCAAAGTCCGCATGAGTCTCTATTGTTCGCCGAAAGACTCCGAGCTGTCACGAGAAGACCTGAAACTGTATAAAGATGCCTTGGATCCCAATCCTTTTTATCTCAGATCTGCTTGATGCTTCATGCAGGGGAAGCTTAAGCCCAAGACTGAGATCTCCAGTCCTAACCTGGAACCACCCTGAATATGAACATTGGACTATAACCTATGGACTATTTCTGAAAGAACACTTTGCAGCTAAGAAGCTCACCATCTCTACTATGAATCTGATCTCAGAACTGTACTCCTGTCTGTATGTGTACTGATCTCTTAACCAATGCTCACTCTCTTTTCTTTTTTAATAAATTTTAATTTAGTTAATGCGAATTGGCTGTAAGTGTGTATTTAGGTAAGATCTGGAATATTCGTTAACCTGGGAGGTGATGTGTCTGATCCTTTGGGATTAGTAGAACTTTTTTAAACGATGAATAAGATTTTCAGTAATCCTCATACTATTTGACTTGGGTGTCTGGGCAGAGGCTTAAGGCTGGGTTGCTTTAAGGGAACTGTATTGTTGGCTTCTGAGGACCCAGGGAGGTGCTATAGAAGCCGTTTTGTGCTGGCTGGGTGAATCTAAGTATTGGAATATCCACCAGCTTTGGGGATTGTCTGCCCCATTCTTTGCAGTTCACTCTGATTGAGTGACCTCATTTGGCTCCCCTGGGGCTCCGGTCACATGGGAATGGACAACAGGAGATGGATCACTCAATAATTGCCCTGCTCTGTTCATTCCCTCTGGGACACCTGGCATTGGCCACTGTCGGCAGACAGGATCCTGGGCTGGATGGACCTTTGGTCTGACCCAGTACGGCTACTCTTATGTTCTTATGTTCCAAAGACAGGGCTGGATCCACATGCCAGCCCCCTCCCCTTTGCCAGGGCTTGCTCTGCTGCGCCTAAAAGTATGTCTGGGGTTTGGGTACAGAGAAAATAGCTTGGCCTTAACCATCTTGGTGCCCTGCGTAGGGGGAGCATCTGGCAGGTTTATTTCTACGGTTGGAGAATGCAGGGGAGGATGGGGGAGGGAACGTTAGAGGTCTGCAGAAAAATTGAGTGTTTTTAACTGCAAAAGGAAAAGCCCCAATTTTGGTTTTCAGCAACTGAAAATTTTCTTCCAATATCTGCTGGAAACCAAAACGGTTTCAGGTTTTGGCCCAAACTGTTCAGGTTTGGGGGTTTTCAGTTTTCTGATGAAAAGCCCATTGTTTTGTGGAATGCAGTCACACTCTGTGGAAGAGTGCGTTGTGTTGAAAACCCAATTGTCCCTCCCCAGTCAAGCTGCACTGGAGTTTTTTGAGCCCCCCCCCCCCATCATTTCTCCTTGGGGAGACGTTTATCCTTCCCTCCATTCACATCCCTCCTGGAAACAGGGTTTTCAACGAGGGCTACGAGTGCCGCTAACCCACATCAGCTCTAAGCCACTCTGCATCTCTCCGGGCGTGTTTATGGCCAATCTTCGTCCGCCTCTTACTGGATTTATGTCAGTTTATAACATCGTTGGGCAGGGGCTGAGGGGTGCTCGTGTGCATTAAAACTCATCGTCAGTACTTAACAATGCTCTTGCATTCAGAGAGCTGCTCTACTCTGGAACATGGTTGGGGCCATGGGGAACGGTGTGTGCTCACCGATGTGTGTAAGGCTCCTTCCTCTGTCCAGCTCTGGAGATTAGAACAACCCTGCATTGGGCACCAGGTCCAGGCTAAACAACCCGTTGTCTGCTAGGTGTGATTCTGGGCACTGGCTGTACCGAGAGCTCAGGCTGCACCGGCTACCTGGCAGCTGCGCAGTTCTACACTGGGCCCTGCAGTAAACGTCAAGGGGAATCAGAAGACTTGGGCTCTGTTGCTGACATGAACCTTTGTGCCTCAGTTTACCCATGGTCAGGTGAGGATAATGATCCCATCCCTCAAGGTCTCGGACAGTTCCTAAGTATTATTATATCATTATTTTGATAACATCGATGGGGGCCCTGCCAAGCATCAAGAGGCCTGTTTAGTCTAGGAAGGGGACGCCTGGCGGATCAAATCTGGCTCTGCATTTAAAGTTACGCAAATGCTTAGGTGTCTTGTTGCACAGGGGCCTCAGCGCCCAGACCAGTCTGATTCCCAGGCGGATACCACTGTGGGGCAGCTGCTAGCAAAAGCTGGCTCTTAAAGGCTGCTGGGGCTGGGGAATGGGCTGGATAGGTCTCAACGACGCAACGTCTCCGGGGCTTTGCCCACCTCTCCGCTGCTGAACAGTGTTGCGTGGCAAGCGTCAGCAAGCAGGTGGGCCGGTGCTACAGGCCCCTTGTGCTCAGGCAAGCAGCACTGCTGGGTGCTAAGAGAGCTCCTGGGGGATGGGGGAGCTTTTCCAGGGCAGTGACTGGGTGCCCAATTTGGTGCCCAGGTCAAATGGGAGTTGTGTCTTCACGACAGAACCAGACCCCAATGCTCGATGTATTTCCCTCCCCAAGACCCCCTCCCCCTCAAACACAAGCGGGAATGTCTGTACATTTCAGGTTTTTTTATTTTAAAAAATCATTTTGATCCCAGCCAAAAAAGGGAGAGCGAGCGAACGAGAGCGAGAGAAAGAGCAAATTCCCTTGTAATTTATCACAGCAAACAGATCCCGAGGCAATGACATGGAGCTTGCTGACGTCAGCGTTACTCCCACCCAGCCGGGGGCGTCTAGACACAGGCCAAGATCAGTCTGATTCAGAAAAGCAGAGGAGCCCTGGGGGTCCCGGAGTCTCTGATGGGAAGGAGAAACCCGTTCCTGCCAAGGAATGCCCAGCCGCGGCGGGCTGCCAAGCTGTCATTCACTCAAGGTGTCACTGCTCTTTTACCCATGAGCGTTGGTCGAGGGAAAGGGCCTGACCCCCGTTTACACTGGAGATGGGTCTGAACCTTTGCCATGGAGGTGCCCAAAGGGATGGCCCGTAACAGCCATGCAGGCTAGGTAAGGTGAAGCCCGTCCTTCGCCCCTCACGCTGTCTCAGTCTCCTCCTCTTCTGGCTGACCCAGGCCTTATCTCACGCTGCTTCCAGGACCTGGGCTGCCTGATCCGGATCACTGCTTTCCTCTTTCCATCCCTTCTGCCAAACATGCGGCTCCTGCTAATCTCGGCCCCCAAGCTGACCTAAGCTTCAGGGACTGGTCCCACTCCCCAGTTTATTGATGTATTTATTGTTAATTAAAAACTGGAGCAAGGCTGCAGCCCAAGTAACAACACGCTTCTCGCCTGGCCTTTCGCTGCTCTCCATCTCCTCTCCTCACCCTTTGGGTCTGGCCAGCTCAGCTCTGCGGAGCTCAGGGAAGGAAAATCCCTGGTGGTTTCAAAGGAACGGAATGGACCCCCCCAAGCCGACCCGATGCAGTGCCGAGGGCCAGCGCTGCCATGCATTAGCCACCATGCTCTCACCGCCCGGAAGTGGTTCTGCAAAAATACCCACCCGGGGTTCCCCTCACTGGCTCACTCGGTGCTGCCCTGGCGGCTTGGTACAGAATCATTCGTGGGAGCACAGACTAAAGCTCATGGACCCGCTTCTCCTTTATGCCAGGGCCCATGGACATGGGCCTTCACGGGGCCAGGAATTACCCAGGTTGCCCAGAGAGCCCAGGTGGCTCTTCCCTAATCCCGGCCAGTGGAGGATGCTACCGGTGGGATCGGATGGCCCGTGTGTGTGCCCACAGCAAAAGCTACTAGTCTCTCCCACTCCCTTCTCTGCCCGCTTCCCTGGCCCTCCCCCATGCGCCTGGCAGGGCCGTTGCCGGGGGCAGGCGGCACAGGGCAGGCTGGCCGGCGTGGGGGTTGGCAAAAAGAAAAACAAGCTTTGTGCCCAAATTTGCCAAAATTCAGAGGGATTGCAGGGCATGCGGGGCTGGAGAACGGGGCCGGATTGGCAGGCCAGGAGACCCAGGACAGGACCGCGTAGGCAGCAGCTGGACTTGGCTCCCCCACACGGCCCCCTCCCTGTGTGACTGCACCTGCCCTGCTGGGACCCCCCTAGGCTGACAAACGGGTTCAGTCTCTGTGGCCCATTCAGTCCATGGTCTGCTGCCCACACGGGGGCCATTCAGTGCCAGCTGTGGTTTCTGTAATAGGGGCACCTGCCCACTAGGGGCTGAGCTGAGATCCACCAAACTCATCTCACATCATGGCCACGGCACAGCCAGCCAGGCTGCACCAGCCATCAGTCACCACCTGCCACGGCTGAGTTGAAGCCACTGAGCACAGAGACCTCCCTAATTCCCAGGGGTGCCACAAGGGACCCCCTAGGAGCTGTGGAGGTGCCCAGCTCACTGTGAGAACGCCTCGGTCTGGAACGGATTACGCTCAGAGCAGTGCCAGCCGGCACGCCCTGTGTCATTCGCAGCTGGCAGGCCTGGGGCGCAACCCCAGCACAGTCCCCAGCTAAGCAGCACTCAGCTTGACAAATCACAGAAGCCAAGGGAGACTCCCCAGGGCAGGGCAGAGAGCAGAGAGCAGGAAGCGGGGATCTCCAAGGGGGTACAGTACGGTCACACCGGATTCAGTCCCAAAGGAGCTGTAAGCTGCTTGCCCTGCAGCCGGAAACGCTGAAAGGGGAATGCAGAGTTCGCAGGCATCACGATCATCTCTCAGCCCCTTTCCCATCGCCGGGCAGTGGGCCAGCCGCAGGCTTCTCCGGGTCTACTTGCTTCAGAGGTTGTTCTAGGGAATTAGAGAAGGAAAGGTTGATGCTGGTCAACCAGGTGCCTGCTCTTGCCAAGCTCTAGGCGTCAGCTGAGCACTGACAAGCTCGCAGCGGGAAACCAAACCAGCTCAGCTGCATGTTAGTTTGGCTCAAACTAGGTATTAGTCGGATACGACTGTTCTTCGCGTTTAGACTCCGTGGAATGCTTGTAAATTGCTGCCGCAGCGCGCCTGCGTTCCAGGCTGCACGGACAGAGGTCAGCTTTGCTTTGTAACTGTGGAAATGTTTGTGCTGAACTTGGGAACCCAGACCCAGGAATGGTTCCTCCTGCCGACCCAGGAGGCCTATGAAGATTAAACAGGACATTAAGGAACATCACAGTACAGAGGGCTGATGACTGGCCTATGCTGCAGTACAAGGGAGCTTGGCTCAGGGTCTGGAAGGCTAAAGATAAAAGATAAAACAGGGTCACAAGAAAATTTGTCGTCTCTTTGGTGTCTGAACTCTCCCAGGGCCAGAGACACTGAACTAAGGCAGAGATCCCCCAGGGTTACTCCTGAGTCTGCCCGGAAAGACATTTTATATTGGCAGATTACTACATCTCTGTCATCTTGAGAAACCGTAGCTGGTAACTCATTTGTATGTATATGTTTGCTTGCTTTCCCTTGTAGGTAACTCTCTTGTTTCTTTTTCCTAGTTGATAACCCTTTAGTTAGCTGATTACAGGACTGGCTACCGGCACGGCCTTTGGTGTGAGATCTGAGATACAAACTGATCTGAGATATGTGACTGGCCCCTTAGGACTGGGAATAACCTGAATATTTGGCGATCTTTGGGGTAAGTGACCATGTCTCACTAAGGCCGGCTTGCTGGGTGGCAGGATAGACTGGATTGTCTGTGACTCCATGGTGAGACCCTTACAGTGATCCAGGAGTTCACATTTGTTACCGGGTAGGTGAAATCTAATCATGGAACAGCATAAAGGGACCCCCCCCCTTCACCTTCCCAGCAAGCAGCTGCTACCAGGCTGGGCTCTGCTTCCCAGAGCACAGCTACCTCCCCACGTGTGTCAGGGGCCGGGTTAGAACCCGGCCCCTCCAGGGGCGTAGCAGAGACCCCCAGCACTGAGCTGACAAGGCAACTCCAGCAGCTGCTAGGCGTCATCAACTGGTTTCCTCTAGTGCACCGGCCCAGAAGTGGCTGCACAGCTGCTTTGCCCGTGGATTTGCTCCGGGGCCGCAGAGGTCCTGCTCTTACCCTCGCTCGGCATGGCCAGGAGAGGAAGAGGAACTGTACGTCCTCCTCTTGGGGCACAGGTGGCTTTAGGGTTTCCCCAGCTTATGCAGGAATGATCCTCCAGAGTCTGACCATGCAGCTAGTCCCAGGGGGAGAGGCATGCAGTGCGGCGGTGAGTCCCGGAACAGCCCTTCCCCCTCACACCCGCAGCTCAGAGCTCCTTCCCGCTGGTCTGTCTTCCCCGTTCCCACACCCAGGGAGGGGATGGAGACTAGATAGTCTGGTCCAGCATGGCCGGAGGTGGGCTCCTCCATTAGAGAGACCAATGGGCTGACCTGGGGCGGAGGGCGGGGTACGGGACGCCAGTGACCTACGGGCTGACCTGGGGCGGAGGGCGGGGTACGGGATGCCGGTGACCTACGGGCTGACCTGGGGCAGAGGGCGGGGTACGGGACGCCGGTGACCTACGGGCTGACCTGGGGCGGAGGGCGGGGTACGGGACGCCGGTGACCTACGGGCTGACCTGGCGCGGAGGGCGGGGTACGGGACGCCGGTGACCTACGGGCTGACCTGGCGCGGAGGGCGGGGTACGGGATGCCGGTGACCTACGGGCTGACCTGGGGCAGAGGGCGGGGTACGGGACTCCGGTGACCTACGGGCTGACCTGGCGCGGAGGGCGGGGTACGGGACGCCGGTGACCTACGGGCTGACCTGGGTGACCTGTGTGTACTCTGACGAGGCAGGAGCAGGGTCCTGCGGTGGATGGGCCAGCGGTCTGACCCAGCATGGGGAGCTGAGCAGCTGGGATCCACGGTGGGCATCTTGTGCTCAGCATGGAGGGGGCAAAGCCTCACCAGTGTCTGCCCAGCCCTGACTAGCTGGTGCCTCTGTGCTGGCCCAGTGCCCTTACCTTGGCCTGGTACACACTGTCCAGTCTCTCGGTGAGCCGCCGCACCCAGTGGGCATGGGGAGGGGCGCAGAGCTGCTTGCCCCTCATGGTGATAAACCTAACACACAGCAAGGAAACAGACGGGGACAGCTGAACAGAAGGCTCTGCGCCAATCAAAGCAAGCTGCCTCCGTCGCAACCCTCCTCCCTGCCACGCTCCCCACTCGTGCCGCTGGGCAGAGGCTGCGGCGAGGTCAGAAGCAGAAATGGCGACAGCCCCCAGCAGGGCTATTCCTGCCCTGGCTAACCCGAGCGCCGGCTCAGGATCCCGCAGGAGACAGCCTGTTCTCCTGGGACCCCGGCCCCATTTCAGCCTCACGCTGGGAGAGGCTGTCGGAACCAAGGCTCCCAGCTGCCCGAGGCTCCCCCGGCTGACTCCAGCTGGCAGTCCAGAGCCGCCCGCGCTGGGAACTGACAGCAGTAGCATGAGAGGAATGGAAGTCCGGCTTGGGCCCACTGGCTGGGGAGTCACTGGGGCGGCCCCAGGCTGGCTCTGACCCGTCGCGTCCAGCTCTTGTGATGCTCGTCGCGACGGACACGCACCACGCGGCGCCGGTCGTGTGCAGTAGGAAGCCGAACTCTCCCCAGCTGCGGAGCGACTCGGGCTCAGGCCCGGGGCTGGGCGCCGTGTGGGTGCGGCGGGCATTCCCTAAGGACGGGCACTGGGGTGAGCTGCCTAGGCCATGCTGCAGCAGTGGACTGTGCTCCCACCTGCCTGCACAGCAGCGAGTGTGAAAGGAGTCTGCAAAGCCTCTGGTTTGGCCGGCTGCCCTCCAAATCCCTTTGATCCCAGCAGCGATCCGACCCCCCCCCCCCCCCACACTCCCAGCACTGAGAGCAATGGCCTGGGGCCAGGCGTCCCAAACCAGCCAGACTTCCCTCATGCCCCCCAGCTTCATCCGTGTATCCCCTTCACTCTGCCCCCCGGCGTTCCCCAGAGCTCGGCGCCCCACGGAGCAGCGAGGCCCAGCCACGGTACTCACACCACGGCATGGATGGGGCAGCCGTCGTAGATCCGCTGCACCTCGTAGTGCAGCACGATTTTGCGGGGGATGGGGACTTGGCTCGTCCTCAGGCAGCAGTCCAGGGCATTGTTGCTGCCGGACACTGGAAGAGAAAAGCGATGGGAGCGATGGGCAAAGGGGAGGCGGGAGGGCGCGGCCGCTGGGGCAGAAAGCAGAGGCAGCCGGGTCCCAGCAAGAGTCCAACGACCGGAAGCTGTCTCGTCACTGCGGCAAACTGGTGCCGTTCTTGCAGAACATCGACACGAGAGATGGAAAAGCCCCAAGGTGGCGGCTCATCTGTCCCCCTGGTCAGTCAGGGCTTCCCTCCAGTCTGGGGCCGAACGCCTCTGCACTGGGCCTCTCTGGGAACCCCCTAGCCCAAGGATCTGGCTGCTAATGGGCACTCTCTGCCCTCACCCGGCCCCCCCTCCTGGGCATCTCGAGCCCTTGAGAAACATGGATGACCTGAGCCCCTGGCAGCTGCAGGGCACAAGGGCTGGCCCCTCCAGAAAGACGGGGAGTGACCTGCCAAGGGCATTTGCACAGTCTGTGGGAGAGCCGGGAATCACCCCGAGCGCTCCTGGCTCCCAGCCGAGTGCACTGGATGCAGCACCTTGCTCGTGCCCCGGGGAGAGCGAGCCGGGGTTGCCGGTCAGCACGGAGACGTCTCCGGGGACTCCCACAGCATGCTCCTGGGAGCTAGTGCCATGGAGCAATGACCACCCCTGCACTGCTCTGCTGGGTGCAGCTCGGGGCACCCGTCTGCCATGGGCAGGCTGCCCCGCATGAGGCTAGTCATCATGACCGGGAGTTGGGGGGGGGCACAGGACAGGCACAGGGACGAGGCCTGCTCACTCCTCTAGTGTGTCATGCTTCCCCCTCCACTGAGGGATCCCAAAGCATTTGTCAAACATTAACTAACTGAATCTCCCGGCGTGCCGGCAGTTGGCTTGGTACTACCCACCGCAGCCATTTAATAGAGGGGAAACTGAGGCACCGTGCAGCAATGTGACTCGCCCCGATTTACACAGCAAGCCTGTGCCAGAGCCAGGATTGGAGCCTGGGGCCAGACTCTCCCTCCACAGGAACTCCTTCCTAGGTCCTTAATCTGCACCTAGGAGTCCTGCTCCTCAGCCCTTTGTTCTAACACCAAGGACGACGTCCGCTCTTAGCTCACGCCGTACCAGGCTAACCTGGAGAGAAGTGTCCCAGAGATGTAAAGGGCAGCTGGCATTTCCCGCTGTGAACTCACACCCTTATTCCACCCAGTGGACACAGCTGAGAGATGGGGCGTGCTCAGGAGCTCCCCACTCTGCTGTGCAGACACATGGATCTCACTCCCACCCTCCGGCTGCCTGGCTCCTCGCAAAGCTCCTCTCGGCTCTTCCCTTAGTTCCTCTAGAAGCCTTCCTTATTCAGCTCGGGTTGGTTCCCTGCTGACTGGAAACACAGGCATGAGTTGTATGGGGGCCTGTCCTGGGCTTTCTGTGCCCTTCGCCTCCTTGTGCCAGAATGAACATAAACAGCAGACAGCCTAATGTTATTAGCAACTGTCTCCAACAGCCGGAGACGGGGCACTAGACGTAGAGGGCTCTGAGTTACTGCAGAGAATTCTTTCCAAGGGGTCTGGCTGGTGGGTCTCACCCCCATGCCCAGGGTCTAACTGGTCACCAGATTTGGGGTCAGGGAGGAATTTTCCCCCAGGTCAGATTGGAAGGGATGGTCCCTTCTGACCTTAACATCTCTGAGGACGGAAGGTCCCAGGAAGGGGGTGGTGATATATTTTATTCAAACAACTTCTAGTGGTGAGAGAGCCAAGAGACCCGGCTACAGCTAGACTGCACACAGGTCCCGGGAATCAGAACTTCCCACACCCCGATGCTTTCTGCCTGTCACAGAGGAAACCTCTCCTCCTCTCTCACACCACTTCCACACATATCCTTGCACACGCAGACTCATGCTCACAACGTACAGCATGAGCACAGGCATCCAGGGCCCGATCCTCCCCCTGCCTTGTGCCATCAGTGACATCAAACACTGCCAGCTTATCACAGACTTACGGTCTGGCTCTGGGCAAGTCACGTCATTGCTCTGTGCCTCAGTTTCCCCCTGCACAAGGGGAGTAATGACAGCAACCTCTTAGGTGTGATGAGGATCTGCTCATTAATGACCCAGGGAAGAGGCTCTGGAGGTGCAAAGCCTCATCTGTTCAGCCCTGCAGCTCAGCATTTCACTGCGCCAGGCACCTGGGGGGGCAGCACCATCCCTTCCTTTGCAACTAGCACATACGTCATTTGCACACAGGACTATTGCCATCCCGTGCAGCAAGGGGGGCATTTACCTCAAGTCCCCAACCCCAAGAGATTTCAGAATAAACTGGATGCAGCGCTACAAACTGGAGTGCAGGGCGCAATCGCACACGGGGAGAGGGACCTGCCGGCACTTAGAGGGGCCGTCTCCTACCCCAACAGGCCAGTCTGTGAATGCCGGAAGGCTGCGGTGACATACAGCAGCAGAGGCCAGAGGAAGAGTGGCCCAGTGGTTAGGACAGAATAGCCTGGTGCTCAGGAGAATTGGGTGTGATTCCACACGAGACTTAGGGCATGGTTGACTCCCCTGCGCTGAAGTTCCCCCTCTCTGCGGGGGCTAATAGCATCTCCAACTCCCGGGGTGCGGGGGGGATAAATATACTGAAGATCGTGGTCCTCAGATACCCCGGCAGCGGATCTGTTGATACCTTAGCTGGAAAGTCAGCAGGCATCCAAAGCCCAAATTTACTAATCCAGAATGAGCCCATCAGACTTCTTCTAAAAGACCCTAGGATGCAAGAGAGCAGAACCCAGGTGGGGGAGTTGTCCATTTTACCTGGCAGGAAGGTCCACAGGGAGAGGACCATCAGACCGAAGAAAGCCACGCTCCTAACCAGCTCCATGCTCGGGCGGGCAGGCTGGGAGCCAAGGAATAGCCTGCTGGATGGAGTATGGAGTGTGCTCTCAGCCAGGTCGCCTGCAGCTCTCTGAATCCTGCTGCTCCAGCTCTCTATTTATCCTGCAGCATCTTAGCTCTCACTTTCATTTCTGGCGGGGGGGGGGGGAGGAGGGGGCACTGACTCATAAGGGCAGGTTCAATTTCCCCAATCCCTTTGTTTGCTTTTAGCCTGTGCTCCTGGCTCCGCAGCCTGGGATGACTTGACTGGCTCGTGGATAGCAAGAGATGGGCCAAACCACGGTGCTGCCGGCTAAAACCTCGTGGATTGGTGAAGGGGTTTTGCAGAAACAGCTAGGGCTAGCTGGGGTTCAGGCCCCCATTTCATCTGAAGCTGCCAAATCTCTGGGGCAGGCTGGAGACAAGGGGTGGGTATGGAGCCAGGGCTAAGCTGAAGGACCAATGACATCTTCTAGGCTCAGCCGGGGGGAGCGGGACGCGGGTCTTTGCCCTGCCCTGGAAACCCCCAAAGCACCTGGGACTCTTACCATAAGCGTCAACCAACCCAAACTGCATTGCAAGACGCCAGCCTCGTCACATGGCCAAGCCAGCCCAGAGGGGTGCTGCAGGAGTGGGCTGGGTCAGCTGCACGGGGAAGCCCCCTGGGCTGGGGTCCAGCTTGGTTCAGCAGGGCCCTGCTCGCAGGGGCTCCAACGTCTTCGCTAACGGTTCCCCCCACCCCACTCCTCAGCCTGCCGTGGGCCCTGCCCTTTGCTCTGGTCAGATGCTGCCCGGGGCCAGGGTGCGCTGCAGAGCTAAGCATTCACCCCGACGAACCTCCTTCCCTTGGCCTGTCTGCTCCCTGCTGGGCCCTCGAGAGAAGGGAGGAAAACCGAGGAAGAAGCCCAATAAAGCAGGGGGAGCTCGGCAGCGTAGAAATCCCGGGGGGGGAGCACCGGTGGTTGAGACCCTCTCCCTCGGCCAGGGCAGGCCTGTCACCTAGGGAACGCTCCCCAGTGCAGCCCCCATCCAGCGCCCTGTGGGGTCTGTGCTCGTGCACAGGGCCGTGCGCCAGAGGGCCCGATTGCAGGACCAGGGTCTCCCCTCGAACGCCGGTCTCCCAGCCCTTCCGCTGGGGGGCTGGCCCCTCGCCGCTCTGCGTGAGGCCGCTTATCGCCAGTGACAGTGGGGCCTGCAGCCGGAGGCAGGAGTCCAGGGACAGGCCTGCCAGAGCCATCCGGCCTCCCTGCGCCCTGCCCTGGGGCGCCAGGCCGCTGCCTGGGTCGAGGGCGCGGGACCCAGCCGGTCGGGGAGCGCGGCCGAGCAGAGAGCCCAGCCGCACGCAAGCTGGGCCTGCTGGACAGGGACGGCTCAACAGAGAGAGGGCGCCGCGTCCATGGGACGGAGCAGAACGGGGGACGCCTGTCACAGAGCGAGGGGCCTTTTGCACAGAGCGGGCTGGCGGGGCATGATTCTCCTCCAGGGCCTGGAACCGGAAAGAGGGGACGGGTGCGATGCTGCTCCCCACCCCTCTCCTGGCAGCACCCCAGGTACATAGGGCTGGGCTGCGTCAGCCCCTGGACGGGAAAGCCCAGAGTGATAGACGTGGTGCTGGGGGCCCAGGAGGGGGTGCCCGTCCCTCTGAGTCTGGGCCCCCCTGTGCTGTGCTGTAGAGAACGCCGATTTCACTGCCCGCCCATCCCAGGGGGTACTGAGCCAATGCTCCAGGGTGCTGTGCAGGCGGCTGGGACGAGATGGAAGCAGGGGCTCACGGGTGGTGAAGATCCCATGGTCTCTTTCTCAAGAGCAGAGGCACACAACCCCAGAGTCCTGGCCAATTCCAGTCTCCCTCTGTCAGCCCCTCCTGTCATTCCAGCTGGATACGGAACCCTTCACTTCCTGTCCCAAACTGCTGGGTGAGGTTGCTGCGGGGTGGCAGTTAGCTGCCATGTTTCAGCCCAGAGTTGCCTGCATTTGGGTGGCGGGTGGGGAGCTCAAGTAGGCAGCCGGTGATGTGAATCCCGGGTGAAAGACGCTCACGCCTACATGGAAGAGAGCTTTCTGGTCAGTAACAGGAGGAGGTGTCCTTTGAGTAGTACCCTGAGCGTACAGGAATGGCTCCCACCCTGAGGAGCTTGGCGTTTCAGGCCAGGCAAACAGAGTGGATGTTCTTCTAAGCGAGAGGCTCTCGCTCCACTGGGAATTATTTCGGGGAAATCCTATGGCCTGTGTTCTACTGGAGGCCAGATTAGATGACCCCAGTGGTCTGGCCTTGGAATCTCTGAATCTATGTGAAACAAAGGCAAACACCCAGAGAGCAAAGTAAACAAGGGAGTCCAGGGGGATCCAGGCGTGGTCTTTTTACCCAGGCTCCTCTGGGGCCGTTCAACACAGTCACCAAAGGGAAATGCGGCTGACGCCGGGGCAGAACAGTGTCATTGCAGGCCCAGGACCTGCCAACAAGCAGGCTCTGCCTCCTCCCAAGCTCCCCGGCGATGCCCATGATCACTGTCCCACGGCGTGTCAGAAATCCCCACTTCCGGCCTTGCTAGCGTATCTCCCACACACCCAGCCCTGGCTTTCCTGGCCAGCCCAGCGGTTCTGCTCAGCCACTTGGGCTGCACGGCCCCTCTGCGCCATGAGGAGGTACTAGCGTCCCAGGCCGCTGTGCCTAGGCGAGTGGCCATCAACCAGCCCCTGTGCACTTGGGGCCATTCCCGCGAGGCAGAGGGCCGGCCCGAGGCCCACGCCCCGTGTGACGATGTGACTCAGCAGGGAGGGGGGAGTGTTGACCTGGGAATGTGCCCTGGGGATGGGAGACCTGAGAGCCTGTCACCTGAGCTGGGAGGGGGAGGGGGAGGTGACACCTCTGCCCAGGAATGTGGACAGAGGCTGCAGCAGGGAACCTGCTGGGTGAGTTGTTGGCAGTTTGGGGCTGGGTGGAGGAACGCAGGGAACCCCAGGGCTGGGGTCTAAGCTCCCTGCTCCCCCAGAAGGACGTGATTGAGGGGTCCTGGTTGTACCCACAAGCTCTGTTGTGGACTGTGTTCCTGTTGTCCAATAAACCTTCTGTTTTACTGGCTGGCTGAGAGTCTCAGTGGATCCCAGGAAGAGGGGTGCAGGGCCTGGACTCCCCCACACTCCGTGACACTGGTGGCAGCGGTGGGATCTGCTGCACCCCGTGAACGGCGCTTCCTGCAGTAAGTGACTGGGGAACAGTAAAACGAAGGGGGATTGACGGGGACCAGGCGTGCTGAAGATTCAGAGAGAGACGGTTTCGGGGGGCGGTTAACCCCTGGGAATGTGTGACCAGAGAGAAAGACTTTTGCAGTAACAGGGTCCCCTGGGGGGTTGCAGCGAGCGGTCCCAGGGGCGGAGGAGTCTGCAGCTCGACCCTGGCAAAGAGGTGGTGACCTCAAGAAGGACTGACACACTAAGGGCTTTTCCTGGAAACCGTGGGAAGCTGCCCGGCCTGCGAGTGGTCAGCAGGGAGATGTACGCTAAACGCCTTAAGAGCGACCTGGTGGAGCTGTGCAGGCAGAGGGTGCTGCGCATCAGGAGGTCCACCAAGGAACAGCTGATTGCCCAGCTGGAGGAGAGGGATCGCTTGGATGACCCGATCCCTGTCCCTGAGGGAAGCCGCCCGGCAGATGCAGCGTGGGCCCTGGGGCCTGACCGGGCTGGGAGGGGTCAGACTGCTGCCGAGGACATCCCGAGGCCCTTCCTACCTATGTCTGGGGGAGGGGTTGGGGGAAGCCCAGCGAATACCGAGGGCACCCTGACCCCAGCACCCAGCAGGGGATCCTCCCGGCGGAGCTCCCCATCCCTGGAGCGGAGGCGGCTGGAATGGGAGAGGGAGATGAAAATGAGGGAGCTGGAGGATCATGAAAAACAACGTCAACATGAGGAGAAACAACGTCAACATGAGCAGGAGGAGAAGGAGAGGGAACGTCAGGAGAAGGAGAAACAAAGACAGCATGAACTGGAGCTGGCCAGGCTGAGGAGCAGTGGGGCCCCGGCTGCGGTGAGTGAGGGGGACCCAAGACTGCAAGGAACTTTGATAAGTGCTTCCTGGCCCAGCGTAAGGAGGGGGAGGACATAGATAGCTTCCTGACGGCCTTTGAGAATGCCTGTGAGCTGCACAGGGTTGACCATGCAGACAGGCTCCAGTTTCTCACCCCCTTACTGGACCCCAAAGCCGTGGAGGTGTACAGCCGGATGACAGGGCCGGAGGCAGGGGACTATGAACTGTTCAAACAGGCCCTGCTCCGTGAGTTTGGGCTGACCCCCGAGATGTACCGGAGAAGGTTCCGGAGTCAGCGTAAAACGCCTGAGGTCACCTACCTACAACTTGTCAACCGAATGCAGGGATATGCCCGCAAGTGGACAGCTGGGGCCCGAGCTAAAGAGGACCTGCTTGACCTAATCGTACTGGAGCAACTGTATGAACAGTGCCCTTCCGACCTGAAGCTGTGGTTGGTGGACAAAAAGCTCGAGAACCCCCAGCACGCAGGGCAGCTGGCCGACGAGTTTGTGAACAGTCGGTCAGGGGGTAGCCGGGAGGAGTCCCAAAAGAACAGGCCCCCCCCGATGCAGAGAGAGAGTCACCAGGGGGCCTCCCAGCGGGGAAATAGGGAGAACCCCCTCCCAAGGGGAACGCCTGGCATCAGGACCCTCCGACCTGCTCGAGGGGACCAACGTGACCTGAGCTGCTATCACTGTGGCCAGAGAGGCCACGTACGGTCCCAGTGCCCCGGGCTCAGGGACAAACTGAGCAGACCCAACCTACCCAGGGTTAACTGGGTAGGGACCCAGCTGGACAAGGGGCAGACGACCCAGGCAAGGGGGGCTACTAGTTTACCACCTGCTCAGGAGGGAAGAGTACCCCAGGCCAGCTCCACCAGAGGGCTGGAGGCTCTGGACTCAGGGTGCTCGGTTTACAGGGTGGGCGTGGGGCTGTCCATCCGGAGAGAGTGCCTTGTTCCCCTGGAGGTGGATGGGAGGAAGGTCAATGGATACTGGGATACAGGTGCGGAGGTGACGCTGGCCCGGCCCGAGGTGGT